GCATGTCCTGCCCTCCTCTGCAGGGGAGAACAGGTTTCTACCCACCTCCATGTGAGAAATGTTTTTCCCCAGATGCTGTGAGGATTGCAGTGGAGCTCACAGGAAATATGGAAGTCTGCACTGACAGGTTGGCCAATGAAGATCAGAAAGTGATGGGCCTGCATCCTTGGTAACCTGGCTCCATTGCTCCTCTACTTTTTGATGCCTGGGTGTTTGGGCACTGAATGGTGATTCCATTGGGATAAGATACAACAGTCCCCTTGGAAGAGAAGGGGCCAGTAGTTTGACAGGTAGTATTTTCAACACATCAACTGCTCTTGCATGATCCAATAAAATGCGCTATTGCATGCACGCCCCTGAACTTTCTATCTAATTAGTAATGCATCTGAAATTTAATTCTGTCGATGCATTAATGCAATTCAATGACTTATGAAGTTAGTGGTAATGATTTAATAATCTTAAAATGGTCTCAACTCCATAAACGTTGCTTGGTCTCAACTCCATAAATGTTTTCCATATTGCTAGGCAAGTGCAGCCCACTTCTGACAGGTGAGAAAGTCCAGCAGGTCCCCCCAAAAACAAGCAGGTAAAAAAGCAGGTCTCCCAAAAACAAGCAGGTAAAAAAGCAGGTCCCCCCAAAAACAAGTAAAAACAAAGAGGGGATATTTGCAAAGGGTTTTCTCTGTTGTGATTAGTGGAATGATCGTAGTTTATAGGCAAGAATTCCAGATTGTTTGTATCCTATTTCATTGTTTCATCAAGATGAAATCAAAACCCACATTCTTTCATTGAAACTTTTCTCATTTATGGGGAGTAGCTGGAATTAATCTTTGGCCTCTGATATACATCTTGCAAACCATTTATTATCCCATATGAATCTTCCAAAAATTTCTTAAGGTTTTTTTTTTAAATACTTGTCCATAGAAAAAGAAAAACTGTACTGGTAAATACATCTGCACCTGTTTTGATACTGTTCCCAGTGTAAAGCTGCATCTTTGTAATACAAATACTAACCTTCCATAGAGAAGACAAAACAACCAGGAATCTCAAAAACAAACGGTGGGACCAGGATGCCATAGAGGCCTCTCATGGGGTCATTAGATCCAGTTGCAGATTCACATTGCAAAAATGAAAAGCTGTAACACACATTTTTTTTCACATAAGGCTATTTACCTAAGCAAGTCCACAGATTTACAGAGGCAAGATCTAGGGCTTACAGAAAGCATATGATATTGCAGCAGGTCTATGTGCAAATTTGATAATTACAAGCACACTTGCAAATTTAAATACCATATTTTTCGCTCTATAAGACACACTTTTTCCCCCCTCAAAAGTAAGGGGAAATGTCTGTGCGTCTTATAGAGCGAATGTGTGTGTGCCCGACGTCCGGGACGCTGCCGGCCCGCCTGCACCACGTGGCACCACCTGGCCGGCACGCGCTTGGCGTGCACTGCTCTGCCCCTGCCCCCCCGGCGCAGGTGAGAGCTGTGCTGCTCAGGGGAAGCGGTGCGGAGGAGGAGGAGCCGCGGGCTTTAACCCGCCGGCTGCACGGAGAGACGGACTGCTCACCCCCACCGCCCGGGAAGACCTGCCATGGAGGAGGAGCCACAGGCTTTAACCTGCCAGCCGCCCGGAGAGATAGACTGCTCACCCCCACCGCCCGGGAAGACCTGCCGCTGCCACCACCGCACCGCCCAGAAGACCACTGCCGGCACGCTGTTGGCCCGACTGCACCACACCTGGCCGGCACGCGCTCGGCACGCGCTGCTCCACCCCCCCCCGGTGCAGGTGAGAGCTGTGCCGCTCAGGGGAAGCGGTGCGGAGGAGGAGGAGCCGCGGGCTTTAACCCGCCGGCTGCACGGAGAGACGGACTGCTCACCCCCACCGCCCGGGAAGACCTGCCACCGCTGCGCCACCTGGAAGACCACCTCCGGCACGCTGCCGGCCCGGCTGCACCACACCTGGCCGGCACGTGCTCGGCGCGCCCTGCTCCGCCCCCCTCCTCCGGCGCAGGTGAGAGCTGTTAACCACAGGTCGGTGTGTGTTTTCAAATGGCAATCCGTCTTTTAATGAAGCCCATGGGGAAGTGATGGGGAATGTGCCTGTGATTATCAGGAAGCTTTCCATGGATCCCTCCTCTGAAAACTAGGTGTGTCTTATGGTCAGGTGTGTCTTACAGAAACTTTGGTGACTCCAGCTCCAACTCTGCTTTTTAATCTTATAGGTAACATGGAGTGGACTTTACATATTCAATTACTTCTGCAAAGGAAAACTTAAGGAAAATCATTTGGAAGGAGATTGGCTAGATTAATTCCAAAAGCAAAGAATTCAATAGCATTTCCCAATCCAGAAAAGGACCAACCACAACTGAGCAGGCTTTGGAAGAATAAAAACTTTGTAGTTAATTTATCATCAGGTGTCCTAAACCAGGAATGGTTTAATTAATTAAATACTAACTTTATTTAGAATCAACTTTTTGATATAATGCTTTAAAGACTAGGATTGACATTTTGAAATTCAAACAGGATTTTAGTGAGTTCACCAAGTAAATGTTCACATCAAAGTCTTAAGTAGATGCTTCTTATCTACCAAACTAATACTACTACCTTTGAAAGAATACTGTATGTGACATTGCAAAAATAGAGAAAAAATATTTTACAAGATAGTTCAATAATACATTTCTTCTGGGGACAAGAAGTTCCATGAGACCGTGAGCTCATTTGAAATGTGCTGATGTGTTGTGGACACCATCGCAAAATGCCTGCTGTGGTGAACACAGTCAAAGAACAGCACATTTACAGAAAGGAAATTTGAAAAGGTGAAAAGCAAGTCATTTCCCCCAAACCCTGCACGCAGAGCAGTAGAGGGGCACCTGCTCACTCCAGAACACAAACTCACTCCTTTGAACCCATAGTTTTTGTCATCATTCAGAACCACCTCCAAACAATTTCTCCCTTCTCCTTCCACAGCCTCCTCACACCAGGCCCCATTTTCTCACCCCCTTGGATGGCCTCAAATGCCTCTTTATTGCTTCCCATTGCTTTCTGCAGAATTCCCCAATCCATTTTCAACAGAATGACCCAGCGGTCCTTCAGGATCCTCCCCATCCTCCAGTCTTCCACCTCCCAGGCAGCAGGAATGCATCTGTCACTCCTACCTGCCAATAATTGTGTGTGTGTGTGTGGGGCGGGGGGAATGGCTGGAGGCCAAGGATTCTCTGTGAAACATTCCCAGACACCCATATTGTAAAAATATAGAAATAAGAATAAACAGAGTTTATCAGCCAAGCTCTTTGCAGGTGCAGTGGTTGGTGTCCTTGAGTGTGTCTGAGTCCATAAACAATGTATTGCCTGTCCCTGCATTTCTTGTGCTCCCCATGCTATCACACACACTGGTTTTTTGTAGAAATGAGGATTCGGTAAACTTCTCCATCTGTTGTTTATGTTATTCCTGGAAGTTCAATTTCAACACTATTTTTTCACAAATGCTCTTTCAGTCAATTTCTTCTTTCTCCCACAAGGTGGCAGCATTTCACAATAAATCAAGTGTTCATTGAAAACCATTCTACCCTGAAAGTATCCCAGGTGTTTTATTTCTGTTTTCCTTCATTCAGAAATTCATACCCTGCCTGTCTATGCTGTGTCAGACCCTGCTGTGTCAGATCACAGGCCTACCTAAGCTAGCATTCTATTTCCCAGTGACCAACCAGGTGGCCCAACCAGAAGCCCCCAAGTGGGGTTAGCATTTTCCAGCTGGTCCACAGAGGTATATGCATTACTGAGGGCAACTTAGAATTGAGCGCCCTATGCAACAAGATGCTTCCATACCTGTGAGTTTCTTTCTGCAAGCAGCATCCGATGCTTGGGGAACAGATTTCATCCTTCCAGGGTCAAGTAGAAATGAATGAAAATGCCAGTTTCTCAAAGAGTGCTGCTTAATGGACCTTGCGTAAGAGAAACCTGCCAACCTGTCTTGATTCAAAAATCAGTGTTCCCGTGCCTTTCAGGACTTCCTGTAGCAGTGGTCCCACTTGCAAAACTGGATGGTACTGTAAGCACCAGAGGCAGTGCCCACTAAGGCTGGAGACCCAAAGCTCTGGAAGGCAATCTGCCCCACCACCCTGTGTTTTAAGCAAAGCTGCAGGGACCCTGAAGGCCTCTCTTACGTACATCTGATCCCCCTGGATTAGCTGCCTCTTTGTCCACAAGTGGTTCAGCTGCTGCCACCCCAGCCTTCTGCTGAAGCTTTATTCCTGGGATCAAAGGCCCTCCTCACCCCTATTTATTAAGAGACTCCTTAGGACAGTCTTTAACAACACAGAGATACACATAGGCTTTAAGAGCAGATGTAAATCAACGTGCAAATGTACATTTTTTAGTTCTGTGGGCCTGAGCACCCAAACTTTTCTGCACCTTGCACCACCCCAGCAAGCAAACAACACATTGGACACTGCAGTACAGTCTCATGGCAGCCACCACTTAGAAGATTAAATAGAAATCAGCTTAGCAGATTTTTGATGTGCACCAATATCACCTGCCCAACGCTCCCCAGCAGAGAAAAGCCTTCATCCAATGGTCGAAGTTTGCAAGGAAATGAGTCAAATGAATCTCATGGGACAGTGTTACAGAATCTGGGTATGGCCACTGAGAAGCTTCTTCCTCTTGTTTCAGTCAAAGAAGTTTCCAGGATAGCTGAGGCACAAAGAAGCGTCTTTCCACCAGGTATGGTAGAACAGACTGGCTGAACTAAGAGGAGGCAACCTGGGAGAGGAAGAACTTGGCAGAGTGTTGCTGTTTTCTCATAGTTATGCCCATTAGGCACCCTTGTACTAATGAAGGTGTATAGCTTAAATAGCACTGATCAGGAGGGAGAACCGGTTCAGGCCTAAACACAGAGGTTCTTAAGGCACCCAAGTGCTGTTCTATATAATTTAGACTGTAAGGAAGCCTGCATGGAACTCTAGCCCTTCTCTAAGTTCCTGTGTTTGTATGTTTCTGCAGAGACAAAGACTGCATCGCCATCTGGGATATGCTGGAACACGCATTTATGTATAAGCACCCATGCAATGCGACAGAAAAGGACTATCAGCCCATGATGGATGTTGCCCATCACTCTATCCCATGTAACAAGGTAACAACAGTTTGTGCCCCCAGGAAGGTTTGTGCATGAGTTTATTTCTGTATTTCCCTGCTTGCCCCCACTTCTTCATAAAGGGCTTTTCAGAACCCCTGAAATCTTGCAGAATGTGCCTGTGTGCAGATGACGGGTGGCAAGAGAATAAGGCTTGTTTCGGGGCTGCTGAGCAGGTGCAGCTCCCTGCCACCACATGTGATTGTGCAATTGCCTCCACACATATCTCACCCCACAGCTCAGAGAGGGGGCTGATTTGGGCTGTCTTTCTGAGGTGCTTTGGAGGGGAGAGAGGGGCTGGGAAGCCACCAGGATGCCCTGAGTTCCATCAACCACAGTTCTCCCTTAGCCCTGGATGGTTCACCCCCATCCCTGGGTCCCTTTTATGACTTCGGCAACACCGCTAGTATGGGTCTTCCTGCAAGGCAGGACGCAGCGCTCCACATGTCAAGTCCTGCCTCTGAGTTTTCCAGACTCAGAGCTGAATAATAATCTTGAGACTCTCTGTCTAGGAGTCATAGGATTGCTCTGCCTGAGGCATGTTTAGAAGCCGAAGAGGTCAAATATGAACAAAACGACACCCATTGACACCTCTCTTGCACAACTGCCTAGTCAATTCGTGCGTATCTCTCAGTACTGCCTCATTTGTGAAGGTTGCCCGTGCCTATTTATCTGAACAGAAGCATGCCTCTTTCCTGGAAAACAGCCCAGCACAGCTCCAACAGACTAGTTCCCTGCCCTTGTCTTTGCATTGCACTCATTTTTGCACTAAAGCTAATGAGAAACAGCCGTTTGATCATCATACAGTATTGCAGTTGGGGGTTAGGGTAAGTAGTTTTAATTGTTGTCTGGTGAGGGAGTGAGGCCAGGGGGCACAGCTATAAGGGTAGATTACAGGTGGGGGGAAATATGGTGGTGGGGGAGGAATGTGCCCATGTAAGAGAGGACAGGTAACTTAGACCTGTCCCCTGTTCTCATCCCCCTCCCCCTCGCCCAGTCAAATGGTTCCTGGTAATCATATCAGTCAGCCCTCTGGCCTGCTGGTGCTGTTTTTAAATGCCAGGTCAGTCCAAAATAAAACTTATCTCCTCTATGATATGATTGTTAAGGGGGCCAACCTGGTTTGTATCACCAAGATCTTGGCGGGGAGTGATCCCCTCTCCCAGCTGTGCCCACCTAGGTAGCTGGTGCAGCACCAGTATTGCCTGGAGAGCTGCAGAGCGGGGGTGGCCATGGTCTATAAAAATGCACTTTGCGCTGCCAGAACTTCATTCCAGTCAGATGCCAGGTTTGAGTGTTCGTACCTGATGCTGGGCACTCAAGACAGATTAGGGATTTTGCTGTTGTACCTGCCACTTGCTGCCCAGCAATCTCCCTGCCTGAGTTGACAGAGGTAGTATCGAGGACAATGCCATGCAGAGGCTGCTTTGTCTGGGATAGCTCAGGACTTCATGGCCACCATGACAACCATGGGGCTGTCTCAACATGTCACTGGCCCAACACATGAAACGGGGCACACCTTGGACCTGATCTTTTTGACAGATTTGGAAGATAGTGATTCAGATGTGGAAGGGTTAACTTTAACCCTATTGTCATGGTCTGATCACTTTCTGGTGAGGTTTAGACTATTGGTAGTGTTTTCCCTCTTCAAGGGCAGAGGATCCATTAAGATGGGCCTCCCCCATAGATCCTGAGAGTTTCCAGAGGGAATATCTGGCTGACATGATTGGCACTCCTATTGAAGCCCAAGACACTCTTTGGAATGTGGAGATGACTCGAGGGGTTGACATTATCGTTCCTAAGCATCCTCTTCCTTCTCATAAAATCTGGCCAGTTCCATGATATACAACTAAACTCAAAGCGATAAAGCAAGAGGGAAGAGGACTTGAGTGTAGGTGGAGGATATCTCAGGACAAATCTGACTGAACACAGCTTAGTGCTCATTGTAGAGCCTATTCCATGGCAATAAAAGTGGCAAAATGTTCATACTTTGCTATTTCTATTGCATCTTCTCAGTGTTGCCCAGCTGAACTTTTCTGAATGGTTTGGGGTCTCCTACATACTGGAACATCAAGTAAGCTCTTGGTGGCTCGCTGTGATGAATTTGCTACTCTGAAGACAAAGTCACTCAGATATGCCACATTTTGCCACAATCCACAGTTGATCTAGCTTCACTGAGAGAGGTATCCAGAGTAGTATCTTATCCAACTTGGATGAATAAGTTTCAGTCTTTTGCGGCTTGATGATGTGGACAAGGTACTTGGTTCTGTTGGTGTCGCCGCTTGATTACTTGACCCTTGCCCATCTTAGCTCATCAGGAGATCTAGTGAAGGGGGTTACATCTGGGTCTGGGAGTCCATCAATGCCCCATTAAGAGAGGGAGTGGTCCCAGCCTCTCTGGAGACCAAACCTGAACCCAGGGGCCATTGTAAATTACAATCTGGTTGCAAACATCCCATTTCTGGGCAAGGTGCTCAAGCAGGTGGTGGCTGAGCAGCTCCAACTACTCTTGAATGAAACAGATTATCTAGATCCATTTCAGTCAGGTTTCAGGCTGGGGTTTGGAATGGAGACTGCCTTGGTTGCCCTGTGGGATTACCTTTGTCAGGAGAGGGACAGGGGGAGTGTGACCCTGTTGGTTCTCCTGGACCTCTCAGAGACTTTTGATACTATCGACAATCCTGTCCTTCTGGACAAGTTGGCTGGGTTGGGAATTGAGGGCACTGCATTGCAGTGGTTCCACTCCTTTTCTGGCCAACCATGTCCAGAAAATGGTGCTGAGGGACAGTTGCTCTGTCCCATAGCAATTACACTATGGAGTTCCTTGGGGTGTTCAATATCTCTGTGAAACCACTGGAAGAGGTCATTCAGAGGTGGGGGCTGAAGTGTCATCAGTATGCTGATGAAATCTAGTTCTACATCTCATTTTCATCTAACTCAGGTGAGATGGTTTCTGTCTTGAATCACTGCCTGAGCTTGATAATGGACTGGATGAAGGCCAATCAATTGAAGTTCAATCCATAGGAGATGGAGGTGCTGTAGGTGGAAGGTATGTCTGCCCAGAGGGTTGGCCTTCAACATGTCCTGGATGGGCAAGGTTTATAGCTTGGGAGTGCTCGTGGACCCAAAACTGTCATTTCAGTCTCAGATAGTCCTGGTGGCCAGGAGCTCCTTCTTTCAGCTACACTTAATTTACCAACTGCAGCCCTACCTAGACAGGCAGAGCCTAGCCACAGTCACACATGCTCTGGTAACCTCTCAACTCAACTAGTGCTTTATGGCTTGCTGTGTTGCATAGGACACCATCCTGTTTAGACAGAAATAAATCTTGCAATTCCCAGCTTTCCCCAGCCAGTATGGCTGGCTAGGGGTCCTGGGAGCTGTAGGACTTATTTCCGACTAAACATGCATAAGATGCTGTTCCTTTGAATGCCATGGAAAGAATGTGGGTTGTACATAACAGTGACATGATTAATTGTTACTGAATGGATAGTAGTGCTAATGTAGAATAAAGAGTACAAACTGAGCTGCTTTTGTCAGCTGGAAAATGAATAGAATCTGGCCCCAAAGATCAGCCTAATGTGGTTGTGGTTTGCAGCCACGTGTCCTCTGTGCTGCCAGCGGCCATGTGGTCAGTGACAGCTGCAATGTCTGAGTGCGGGCTGGTGCCAGCAGCACCCGTTAATCTCTGTATCTCTGTGCCATTGCTCTTCCAGTGCTGTCATGCAGCACAGGAATAAAGCTTCCCTCTTTCACAGAATGGTAACCCGGAGAATATAGAAATTATAATAAACAACTTTTAAAATCCCATGAGGGAAAAGTGCAATGATTGAGTAAGATACAAAATGCAAGATCTATTGTTGAAACCTGGATGGCATCTCAGGGACCATTCAAGCCTCGAGGCCCCACATGGAGCTATGACCTTAGAGGGTTTTGAAAGGATATTATTAGAGTGCCCCCTTTGGCTCTTTCAAACACCATGGGAACGTGCATGAGATTGAGAACTTGAATTCCAGAAGGTATGCACGGTGGGCAAGGAAGAAGGGCCTCAGGATCCCCCTAAGAACGTAAAGAAATTATCCATCATCTACAGGTGCTCAAAACAAATACCTCCCTGAGAAGGAGGTGGGGCAGGGGAAAACATAGGCTTCTGCACCATCTGTATTCAGAGAGCCAGAGGTCTCCAACACATGGCAAACAGCTAAGAATGCATGCATTTCAAGGCGTATGCATTTTCCATAAAATTGTGCCAGCCACTAATTAGCCAAAGGCATAAATCTAAGAAATTGCTAGCTAATATTGATCACATATTAATTGCAGTAGATGATGATAAAGGAAAGTATTTTAAGTTAAAATGGGGAAAGATATTACAAACAGAAGTCTCTTTAGGCCAGTAGAACCACATCATCTGGAATGGTTGTTAAATCTCCTCATGTGTTAACCTAAAGGAATTTTTAAATAAAGTAATATATTGTTGGTATAAGACATCACAAAAGTTGACAAGGATGTATCCCACTGTAAGCATTGCTTGCTGGAAATGTGGGGAAAATAATGCAGACCTTTTTCATTTATGGTGAACTTGTAAAAAGATTAGACTTTTCTGGGAAAAAGTTATGGCTTTTATGAATTGTATGATTGGCTATTCCATTCCTCGGAACCCTCTGTGTGTTCTACTTGGCTATGCTAAAGAGGTTGTTTAAAAGTGAGCATGTGGAATTGGTGGGAAATCTTTTTAAAGCTGCAAAGTTAGTTATAGCTGCCAAGTGGAGACCACCTATGACTCCGTCTATGGAGGAAAGGATCAATAAGGGGAGATACATCACTTCAGTGGTGAAGTTAACAGAATCTGTTCATCTACAAGAGAACAGATGGAAGGAACATACATTTGAACAACTCTGGGTGCCATTTATTATATGAAACAGCAGTTTGATTTGGACATTAATATATTTAGGACTTTTGTAATGCTTGTAATTTTGAGAATACTGTACGTTGGAAAAATTGGACTAGTATGCTTGATGGTTGTTAGGGGAGTATAGGTTTTATCTGTAGTTATGACTTTATGTAACTTGCTTTGCATTTTTAATGTTTGTACATGTATAATAATAATATAAATGTTTTTTTAAGAAAATGCTGGGCCTACCTGGATTGCGAACAACTGGTTTATAACTGCATTTCAGAGCTTGCATCCAGCAGAAAACTATCGTGTAACTTATGGATTTCCCTGCTCCAGCCGTCTGCAGCCCCTCTATGCTATCCTGGGAAGCTGCATCTGAGGCAGGGGGCAACTCCCAGAATGGCATGAAATGTCACACAGGAAAGGCTGAGGCTGCAGACGGAGAGGAGCCCTAGGAAATCAGACATGCCTTTTGAGGAAGCAGATCAGGCATTCAGAGACTGATCTGTAACCCAGAAACAACTCTCCCCTGAAAACAAAACAAAATCACCCTCCCCCCGCAAAAAAAAAAACCCTGTTGTCACTACCACAACATGTTTGGTTTTCTCTGTGCTGTTGCCCAGAATGCTATTCTATCTGGATTTCTCAGACTCTAAGACAAAACATCCTGCATGGCTGAAATGCTGATGTTATGAGCTGAAAACCACTGGGTGAAACACGCCAATGGTCCCTATCATTAGGTAGATTGAGGAGGCTGCCCCAGGAACCCACTGCTAAGAGCCAGCAGGGGTACCCCAGTCCATTCCCATCCTTTTAAGCTGACACCCTGAGGTGGCAATGCTTATGTGTTTCTGGCTTGGGCTGCCTATCAATCTCCCTTAGTTGCCCTCCCTCAGTGACTGGATCCAGACATGCTAACCCACATGACGTATGAGCTGAGTGTGTGTCGTTGAACAGTGGGCCACCATGTCCTCCACACCCAGCCGGGATAACAAATCGTGGTGAGCAATCCACAGTTCACCATCCACCACCAAACCACTGGCTCTCTTCATGGGTTGCTTGTGCTTAGGCTATGGCTAGTTAGCACAGCAGGGTTCGGATGACAGGATGACCAGCATTTCAACAACAACCTACTTGAGTGGGGTTCATCATGTTGAGTGGGGGTTAAGTGTAGGTTACCATGTTTCCCACACACATTAGTGTGTTGTGGAGTATTGTTGGTAGGCACCTAGCTGAAAGAGCAGGCAGAAGGGAAGCAAGTCCAGCCTGTCCACTCCAGCAGGCATTGCTGTGCTCTCATAGTGTATTTGCTTGTGTGGGCGGCAAGCACATACCAGGTTGTGTGGTGAGTGAGCCATGAGAGGTGCTAGAGGTCGCTGCTCTCTCAGTGCATGCATCTTGTGCCCTGCTCTGGCCCCATCCAGCTTCGGCCGCAGTGGAGGATGCTGCCTTATGTTAAAGGAAGAGTCAACTTTGTATATGTGGTGAAGGGGAGGGGGTGCCATCTTGTTCTTTACCTCTGGCAGTAAAATGTCTTGGGCTATCCCTGGAGAGCAATGTTTTTCTCATAATTTCTCTAGTCATGTTTTTATGAATATAATAATTTTACACCACTGATTCCATATTAACCTTTTACTTTCAGTCACTGTTTTGGAGCAAGACAAATGACCTTGTACACCGTTACACAAAAGCTACTCGTAATTACTTCACTTTGGAGGACACTTTGCCAGGCTACATAGCAGATGGATTGTCATGGTGTGGAAATCCCTCCAGTCCTGGTAAGAAAAGCTCCTCATTCTCTACAAGAAAGAGAAATAAGATTTTTGTCTTGGTATAGGGGAGGACAGAGATTGTATTTCATTTCCAAAGAACAAGTTTGATTTTAAACTGAGTTTGAAGTAGAAAGATTTAGCAGTAGATCAGCAACAAGTTACCAAGAGAATGAAGAATGTACCTTTAGGATAAATTAATCCATGCAAATACAATAGAATGCTTTTAGATTTCATACATATATTTGCGTCCCCAAATAAAAATTTATAATTTAGTACTAAACAGTTATATCTATTCACACACACATGTTCTCTCTCATGCACACACGCTTAAAATACAGACCATTGGGGGAAGTAGGTTCTGAATCACCCTTCCATGAAAAGATGACTTTCCTACATAAAGGGGCATTGCTTTAGATCTTAATTCTTTGTACCTCCTTGCTTGTAGTATCCTATTTTATATTTAAGTTTCAAATATTTTTCTTTTAGGAATCAACTACAACTCTTGCCCTAAATGGACTGAATGTGAGAATAACCCTAGTTCAATATACTGGAAAATGGCATCAAAGATGGTATGTTCTATAGAACCCAAGTCAATAATACTAATTCCATACCATGTTTCAATAATATATAATTTAATAATATTAAATGTTCAGTAAAAATATAGCTACCTTGACTAGCGATGCAATCAGGCAATACACCTTGACATTTCTTCACCTGTAAACATACAGGCGGCGAAAAGTTAACATCCTAAGCGGCCTTAAAGGAGTTCAAGGACTGAAAAACAATCACACATAATGGCAAATGCTATATAGTTGGAGGCCGTTTGGTAAATGCAAAGAGGGGCACAGCGCTTGCCCCACTTGCCAAAGGCAGCAGCTACTCTCTGCTGCTGGTCACTGCCTTTCTGCAGTGCTTAAAAGGCTTTAAATTGTTTTTTTAATGGGAGACTGATATCAGCAAACCAAAGTGCTGCCCTCCAGTGCCTTCTTTCTTTGGGTTCTAGAGTGATGTTATGTTTTAGAGCTCAGACCTCCAGATCAGCCTTGTAATTCAGTTTTTAGGCAGCTTACGTTTCTTTCAGTATTGTCACTTTGCTTTCTGGAAAATGAGGGCTCTGTGGCTGGCCATACACACCATGATAGCTCTTCCGTGAATAGGGAATCCCAGACCAGCCATTTGTGAGAATACCCCAAACAGTCAGCATTCTGGGGATATCTGTTCTTCACTTCTAGAGAAATGCTTTACAGAAATGAATATTGTAAAAAGTAATGCTAATCTTAAAAACTTCAAATACCTTTTTATCCATAGTTAGGAAAAATGCTACTATTTGTTTTAGTTTGCAGAAGCTGCCTGTGGTACAGTTCAAGTGATGCTTAATGGATCAATAGGAGGTGGTGCATACAGAGACAACAGGTATCTCTTGGTATAATACTGTCTGTCCATCATGCCAGCAAATCATGCCCTTCTGTTTGACATATGATTTGTTAACAAAGTGCCCCTGGGCTGTTTATTGCAGTGGGACAATACATGTGCTTGCCTGCATTGCATTTTCAACAATCCATGCAAACCAGATGATAGCATTCTTCACCATTTGTTTGGATGCTAAATGCAGCCACACATTCAATGCAGCATTGATGGCAGTTGTTCTTACCTTAAGGCAAGGAGGAGCAACTTGTGGCCAAAACTGCAGGCCAAAACATCTGGAGGACAACAAGCTGCTCATCCTTACTTTAAGGCATCACAAAAGTTCACAAGGACTCACAAGGGAGCCATTGTAGTGTATGAGGCTGGGACTTAGGCAACCTGGGTTCTAGTCCCCACTCAGCCATGGAACCAGCTGGGTGACTTTGGGCCAGTCACAACCTCTCAGCCCAGCCTAACTCACAGGGCTTTTGTCGTGAGTATCAGATTGAGAGCAGCAGGAGGAGAATGATGTAAGCTGCTTTGAGTTCTTTTAAAGAAAAAAGGCAGGATATAAATCTAATAAATAATAGACAAGAGCCAAGCTGGCATGTTTGTTTATAATAAGACAGAAAAACAACTGAGTAGAACTGTGCATGGGATAGGATGTTGCCATATCTAAAATAGGAAAAGGGAATGTGTCGCCCTCAGGATGTTACTGGGCCTCACTTCTCATCATTAGCCTTAAGCACCATTTTTGATGGCAAGACAGCATATAAAGGAAATAAATTAAGCAGGGACAGATAGAAGAGTTGCACAACATCATTTTACTGGAAGAACTACAAAACCTCCACAACTACCTGGAAGCGTAAATCCCATTTAAACTAATGGAATATTAGTCATAACTAACTTGTTTTCAATGAGATTTAGAACTAGCTTCACTGGAGCTCTGGTAAAATATGTCACAATATATACTAGGTTTAAGGGCTTGGCCAGATCACCTCATCTTTCTAGGTGGTTGTAATTGTTTTGCCTCAGGAGCACCAACTATTATTGACAAGCCAACTAAGATTTTATATTGGCTGTATTATTTGGAAACCATTTTGCTGCATGCCTGATTAACCTGGGAGGTTCCAAATTACAGTAATTGGAACATTTTTTCAGAAAATTTGCAGCAGAAGATAGATGATAGACAGACAGACAGACAGATTTAAAGTATTAGATACTTATTCTAGATAAATGAAGGCAATTGTACACATTTGGTTTCCAATTTGGGGTCCCCTCATGCAGCACCTGGGGGTGTGCACAGGGGTTCCTTTTTGGAGGGTTGGAGTACCCCTTCTCCTTTCCTCCCTTTCAGTAGATAATGGACACATTATCTGACAAGTGCTGATCCAACCATTCATCAGGCACACAAACACAAATAAAAGGCTAACTGTTCCCACTTCCTAAAGTACTTCTGTCTGTTGATTATGGCATTATACTGTCTAAAAATTTTACCTGATGTATGTTGTTGGATTCGTAAATGTGTGTTAATTAATTCCTTTCTATGCTCATGATTTTTCAGCATTTTGGGAAGTGTTGAAATGGTTAACTTAAATCCGGATAAAATCTCCAAGGTGCAGATTTGGCTTATGCATGATATTGATGGACCTCAAAGGTATGGCTCCCCAGTACAGAAACAAACAAACTTGGTTTGGTTTGGTGATGGCATCATAATGACATTTTGTTAATTAACAGCACTGCTTGTTCCATTAAGAATAATTTCTTCTTTAGTGCTGTGTTTTTCTATTTTCTGCTGAGGAAACACAGTTTAAGCAACCATTTCCAAAGGTCACTTTTGTTCAATTGACACTATTATTTCTGCACCTTTTTCTGTGTGCTGAGATCCTAACCCTACCCACTCCCTTCCCAGATCTACATTTCAAAAGGCTCCCTGGAGAGATAGTATGCCTGATTATTAAGGCAGCTCAAGCCTGTAGTGCAGATATGCCCAGGGAGCTGAATGCAGTCTGACAGGGTGGCCATTGGTATCTTTGTTCATGGGTTTTACCAACTCTTGTTGCATTTCCAAAACACATACAACTTCTTGGCAAGTGACAGCAGGTGCAAAAAAATGAGTACATCAAGGAAAACAGTGTCCCAATGATTCCATAGTCTACTCTTTTAAAAATTAGTGCCTGTGTTTGCCTTTTAATATGTGCTTCACTGGGTTTGTTTGGGTGTAATTTCAGTTCCTGCCGGTAGAGGACTCCAAATCACACAAATAGATTTCACTTTTCTTTCTATCTACCACGACAGAATGGGATCCCAGGATGTAACCCCAGGAAGCTAGGAAACGGAAGGAAATATACTGCTGAAAAGAAAAGAGCTACAGAGAGGATAAAAGAGAAAGGGGAAAGACCTGCTAATATTAGAAAATAGTCATGCCTTGAAGATACTATTTCAGGAGCATCACTGCTCAAAGATAAGGGGTGGCAGTGCCAGTATCCAATCCATAAAACACACACACTCACAAGGGCGAGAGGGAGGGAGGAAAGGCGAGAGAGGGAGATCAAGCATGCATGACTGACCTATTGGTCTGCAGAAGGAAAGATGTGAAACTTCCAGTACTATGAAATGATCTTCTTGCTTGCCTATTGTATCAATAGCTAGGATCCATTCTCCTTTTCTCATTCCATGTTATAGCCTGATTTATTTTCTTGTTACTTAATGTTCACAATAAATTGTAAAGTCAAACATGCCTCATGGCAATTCCAGTGCTATTACTAGAGCAAGACCTTCCAGCAGAAGTAATTGGGACCTGCAGGCCAAGGAAATCCCAAATTAGCTAGCTAGCCAGCTAGCAAGCAAGCAAGCAAGCAAACAAGCAATAAATAACAGGATAAATGAAAAAACCTGGAATAGAAATTTGCTTGCCTTTATTTCCAGTGAATCTTGCATGGGCCATTCTGTAACAAAGCTAAAAGAAATCCTAGAAAGGCGGAAAATAAGTGTCTCTTGTAAAGATAATTACAGGTAAGTTACCATATTTTTGTGTACTAGCTATCAACTTGTTGAAAAGATTTAATATATGACATAAACATATGTAAACATTCACATATGAAGAAGGGGGTTAGGATCTACTTTATTATCAGTAAAAGAATTGTGCAAGAGAAGAATGGTGAATCTGTTTCATTCTGCACACTTCCCTTCACAATGTACACAGGCTCGTTGTAGGGGGACTCTGTTCTCTCTTCTCAGCTCTGATACTTGGGAAGGCGAAAAAGCCCAGAGGTAACAGCTGCAGAGAAGTAAAGGGAGCAACAGGAGGATTCAGCCTTTCTCCTCCATTCAGATAAAATTGCATCTAGTTGGGCCTTAAGTATGATTTATTTAAATGATCACAATGGTTCCCTCCCTGTATTGTCTATAATCATCATCTTTGGATCCCCACATATATTCTTTCATGGATCAATTCATACAATTAGAGATATAGAGAATTACATATTTGTTTAATATAACCAGAAGACATTTCTATTCTTCATCGTGGCCTCTGTGCATCACACATATGGGTACTGTGCCTGCGCAATGCCTAGACCGGAAAATTAGAAAGCTAACAGTTTTTGGCGGGAAAATTCCACTCCCCTCCCCCTCCATAGAATAAATAGAGTGGAGTGTCCGCCATTTTACTCAGTCTTTGAGACCGCCGTTCGCTGTGCCTCATGCTTGTTCGTCTCTCACTTAGATTCTGCCTCATGTTCGTTCTATGGTTCTTATACCTACCTTGTTATATTCCAAGTTTTTTCTCTTACCCGTATTACAATCTTCCTTTCTAAAAAAAAAAAAAAACCCAAAAATATTATAACTTTACTCTCTGCACTATCTTCTTCTTTCCTTTTAGCGATGGTGCAGCGAGCGGCATTTCGCAAATGCATTGAGTGCGGCTCCAAGATGTCCCCAGCGGACCCGCACGATGTATGCCTCCTCTGCCTCGGCGAGGGGCATAGAACCGGTAAGTGTAGCCATTGCTTGGCCTTCACCAAGCAGGCCAGAAAAAATAGGGAGAATTGTCTCCGTAAGCTACTCTGGGACCAGGCCTTGATGCAATCAGACCAGTTGGTCTTAAGGCCTGGCTCCTCTTTGACTGCGCCTCCTCAGTGCTCCGCCTCTGCCTCGGCCGTGCCCTCCAAGCGCCCTACCTTGGCCTCGGCCGCACCTCCACAGCATCTTTCGGACGAAGGCGCTACTTCATTGGAAGCCCAGCAGCTACCTTCTCCCCCATCCAAACAATGGGAGAAGTGTAAGCACACTGGGTCTGATAAGTCCTCCAGGCACAAAAAACTGAGGAAGGATAAGGTGGGCAAGCCGGATCATAAGGGCAAAAAGCCTGATCACCCCAAACACTGGGGTTCAGGTTCACTGGGATTCTCGGTACCAACCGCCACTACGGTATAGACTCCCTCGGGACCGGCCATGCAGTCAGCAATGCAGATGACTCCGCTGGGATCCCCCAGGCAAATTGTTCGGCCTTAGAGTGCGTCTTCTCCACAACCGGAGGCGCCGCTTAGGGAGTCGATCTCAGATGGAGAGATCAGAGACTCCTCACCAAGGGAGTGCTCTCCAACCCCGATGCCTACAGCCAGGCCACCTGCAGAATCTGACCATCAAGCCGATGACTGGCCAATGCCCGGCTACAGTGGTTTCTCAGGTTGGGGTGAATACCAACCATTCATCTAATACCCACAGGACCGTCAGTCACCACCGATCCCGAGGGAAGTGCCGTCCACTTTGGGGCGTGCAGAGAGGAGGTGCCCACTGTCCCCGGAGACCTCCTTTTCCAGCAAACACTACCGCTATCAGGAAGACTTGGATGAGTCGGAAGTGGACTCCACGTCTCCCGATGTGGCCATTACCTCCCAGGGCCCTGGGTCCCCGGATAAGCCCCATGTTACCTTCGCGGAGCTCATCTCTCACCTGGTTTGGTTGCTGGAGATCAAGGCCCACCATCGCCCCGGTCCCACCACCAATAGATTTTACGACATCATCTGGGGTGAGCAGTCTGCAGCCATAGCCTTGCCGCTCATTACTATGCTCCGCCAAGCGATGGTCCAGCCCTGGGACCAACCAGCTCAACCACAGGCTACGTCTCGTTGATATGAAGCCATGTACCGGGTTCGAGAGGAAGACATACCATTCCTGCTACGTCACCCGAAGCCAAACTTGGTGGTGGTTGAGTCCTCCCAGGGCAGGGAGTCGAAGGGTCACACAGCCCCTCATGATAAGGAAGGGAGGAAGATAGATATGCTTGCGTGCCGGGTCTATGTGGCCTCTGGACTCAGCCTATGCATATCAAATTATGAAGTGACACTGGCGCGTTACCAGTACTTCATAATGCAAAAGCTGGAGAACGTCGCCTCCTCCCTTCCAGACCATCAAGCGGACCTGGCCAGAGTGTTCATAAAGGAGGCAATCAAGACATCATGTGGACACTGACGCTAGGGCCCTGGTCAATGCTATTTCTCTTCGGTGGCATGTGTGGCTGAGGAATTGTAATTTCCCTGAGGAAATGAAGAGGAGAATAGAAGAAATGCCGTTTGATGGTACCGGACTGTTTCATGCAAAGACCAACTATAAGCTCAAGTCGATCCATGAATCATGCATGACAGCGCGTCGCATGGAGCTTCTGCAGCAAAAACATAAGTGGTCATGGTCCCGACCTTCTGGACGTCAATACCAACCCCGTCAGCAGTATCAACAAAGGCAGCAACGCAGATGGCAGCAGCTGCAACAACTCTTTTCTCAGGGCCGTTGGCGTTTTGATACTGAGAAGCGTCCTCGTTGACGGTCCCGGCGGACCATTCCATCTCTCTACTCCCCACCTTCCCCTCTCCCTTTTGGGGGCAGGCTCCAAAGCCGACTCCCCATTTGGGAGTCCATTACATCTGATAGGTGGGTGTTGTCCATCATTCAGCTTGGATATAGAACAGAATTTGACATCATTCCTCCGTCGAGCCCGATCCGATTTACACCTTGCTCTTTGGTACTATGCAACGAAGTCTATCAGCTACTTCATAAAGGGGTGATTCGACAACTCTCTCACTCTGAAGGGCTGCACGGATTCTATTCCAGATATTTTACGGTCCCTAAACGGGACGGTGATCTTCGTCCTATCCTGAACTTGCAAGATGTTAACAGGTACATCAAACCTAAAAAGTTTCGGATAACCACCTGACAAAATATCCTTCTGTTGCTGAGGAGAGAGGATTGGTTTGCCTCACTGGACTTGAAGGATGCATATTTCCATATCTCAATTCTCACAGACGCTATGTTTCACTGTCGGATCCGATATATTCAAATTCAATGTCCTGCCATTCGGTCTCACCACGGCTCCGAGACTCTTCACAAAGTGTATGGCTCCAGTGTGTGCATACCTGTGACTTCAGGGTATACAAATATACCCATACTTAGATGATTGGCTGATTGTGTCCCAGACTAGAGACAATGTCCTGTCAGCTGTACACAAAACTTGTGCTTTGCTTGACGATCTTGGACTTTGCATTAACCATGAGAAATCGTCCCTTATTCCTACGCAGGTCATCGATTTCATCAGAACATGTATCGACTCTACTCTAGAAAGGGCATTTCTTCCTCCAAACTGTCAAGACACTCTTTGTGCGCATATTCATCGGATTCGACAGGACAGTACAGTACAGGCCATCACTATACAGAGACTTTTGGGGCACATGGCTGCCGCAGTTGCCATCATACCGTACGCCAGTCTCCGGCTTCGGCCTCTACAGTTGTTCTTCAAGTCGTTCCATCTGCAGTGGGACCCACCAAGCAAGTTAATTTGGATTCCGCTGTCAATCCTCCATACCATGACATGGTGGACTGCTCTAGGCAATCTATCTATCGGCGTACCGTTCTGACCCTCCTAACCAACAGTGACATTGTACACCGATGTGTCCCTCATCAGGTGGGGTGTAGCTTGCACAGGACTTTGGGTCCAAGGAGTTTGGAACCAACAGGAAGCAAAGAAGCATATCAACTTCCTCGCACTCTCGGTGATTTTCAACGCTCTCAAATCTTTCGAAACTGTCCTACAGCGCCAAGTTGTCCAGATTGCTTCTGACAACATCGCTGCTGTTTTTTACATCAACAAGCAGGGCGGGACAAAGTCACCTGCGCTGGCTCGACTATCGATGGAAATTTGGGATTGGTGTATCCCAAGGGACATAATGCTACTGGCAGTTCACCTTGCAGGGACCGACAACGTAGAAGCAGATACGCTGAGCAGACAAATGTCAACGACCCACGAGTGGGAGTTGGACCAACGGCTTTGCGAGCAACTTTTCCATCTATGGGGATACCCGGACATGGACTTGTTCACTACCCGAGAGAACAGGGTATACGAAATGTTTTGTTCGAGAGCGGGTATCGGACTGGGATCGACAGGGGATGCCCTCATGATCCCTTGGAACAACATGACTTTCTACGCTTTCCCCCCAATTCCGCTCTTGATGAGGGTTGTATCGAAGATAGTTCAAGACAATGCTACGGGGATATTAATAACTCCGTGGTGGCCAAGGCAACCTTGGTTCACCACTCTCCTCAGTCTGTCCAAAGGTGAATTTCTTCGGCTCCCAACGATTCCTCATCTGTTAACACAGCACAACGGAGCGATCCGACACCCGGACTTGACTTCTTTGAAGCTGACGGCATGGCACATCCGATAAGTCTAACTGCTGAATCGATTCCGACGACATCTCAACCACTGGAACACGCAGCTCAACAGACTGGGCAACCGAACCTTTCCTCGGACCCGTTAGGAATTGCTCTGGGACCGATTCCAAGATGGCGTCGGAATGAGACGGATGTGATTAACGGAGTTCGTTTATCACACCGGTATTACTCGGCAGCGAGTCGTGGGAGACTCATCTAAGCCCTGTCGGGGTGAAGACAGATTGCCTGAGCACGCTTTTGGCTTGATGTGAGATGGTAATCTCATATCTGCTGAGAGCAATTCAGGTATTTCTCAACAGGGGTGGTTCCAGCCTCTTCAAGTTCTCGACATCTTAGAAGATTAGCTTAGGATTTTTATTAGCTAGATAAGCATTGGAACTGCTGAGTAAATATTTTTTACTTCGTTTGCAATATTACCCTTGGAAAAGCTGCATTTGTTTATAATTTAGCATTAAGAAAAGAAAAATCCTCTGGATGTTTAGGCAGCGACTGAGATGAGAGAGTGCTGAGGCTTTTGTCCAAGTTGAAGCCGAAGAAAAAGACTTTTTCCTCTAACCTCTCTAAGAGTATAAAATTAGTTTAAAATTTTAAGGTGCAATTACGTGATAGGAGTTAAAAGCTTTGACCGATCATTTTGGATATCTGTTTGGACTTCTGCCAAGATCAACTGGACACTCGCCAGGATATTTTTCACATTGTCGGATGCTTTCTTCTTTAATGTGACGACTGGGTGAACATTCCTATTTTCCTTTTGCAATACTACTTGTGGAAAAACTATATCTGTTGTTAATTGGCATAAAAAAGAGAAAAGGGAGAAAAGAGGAAGGATATAAGAATCTCCATTTCCTCTCCTGTGTTTCTGGGACCTCTGCCAAAGTATTTGGCAACTTGCCAACCTTCTGACCGCTAGTGATCTAGAGAAAGGAAAAGTGGAACTGATCTTGGCTGCCACTTTGTGGCTATTGGAATTATTGCAACGATGGTAGAGCTGAAAAGATTTTTTTTGGAAATACAAGAATCTTTAACAACTTTACAAATATCCCAAGAGGTGATGTTGAGACAACAGGAAATCTTCTCAATTGTACAAAAAAAGCACTTTGATAAGCTTGATGCTTCTTTTAAGGAGATGGTGATTGATGTAGAATCCAAAACTGAACAGAATATACAAGAAAGGCAACAAGTATATGAAAAATTTGAAAAATTTGAAACTGTGGATAAAAAGAAACAATTTTGGCCACTAAAGGAAGGAATTTTTTTTTTTTTTTGAAGGATGGATGGATCCTGAATTAACTAAAATTGATTCTGAGGAAGAAGAAACAGTGAAGGTTGATTTGCAGCAAAAAACACAGCCATTGGGAATAAATACTGACCTACAACAAATGCTACAATCACTGAAAATAAAGCAAGAAATAGTGAAGATTGAAATACAGACTTTGAAGTGGGTTGATTTTCAACAAATAACACCAAGGGGAGAAAGATGGGCTGGAGATGTAAAGTTTAAAAATACTGATTTTCAACAAACCCTATTAAAACAAAAGCGGTTTAGAAGAGGTGTAAAATAGAAATCTTAAAAAGGAATGGTATAAATGGGTTGGCATGTTTATTGTGGTGTGGAAAGGCTAAGGTATATGATTTTAACTGTGAAAGCTTTTCTACATTTAAATGTGTTGAATTATGAAGAGATTATAAGATAAGATTTAAACTGAACTAAGAAGGAGAAGAAGAAGTGGAGTCCCCCCCCCTTTTTTTTCTTCTCTCCTTTGTGGGTGATATAAGGGAAAATGAGAGATTCTTTTCTTTTTCTTTTTTTATCTTAAAAACGAATGACCAAAAGCTAAGTTGCACGACTCTTTTGCCTTTGAATTGCTATACTAGAAAATGACTATTATGGGAATAGGAGGAGCTGTACTAAATAGATTTCTTATTACAAGTGAGATATATTAAAGATTGTAAGGAGCTGGACTCTTATAAGGAGTTAATTGTATGTGATTAAGTGAAGTGTAAGCTAGATGAAACTTTAATAAATTAGCTTAAAGAAAATTTGTTTAAAAGATATCATAGATAATTGTTGTCGTTAAACAGGTTAGATAAAATGTCCTTAAAGATGCTAAATGGATGTTAGACATGTGAACATAAATTGGGTTAAAAGTCTTTAGTTCTTTTTTAAGCTTGGAACTTTTCTTCTCTTTCACTTTCCTTTTTAGTGGATATTAGACTGGAATACTAGTAAGCAAAAAATGTATTTGATCGTATTTGTAACTATTATAATGAGGAGTTTATCTGTTTAATATTAGAAAAATGAAGAGATCTGGAATTGTGTAGAGTTGGTTAGATTGAAGCTACTATCGAAGAAGAAAGAAGATATTAACTTTTATCAAAATCTGGAGAGTCTTTCTTTTAATATTGGTCAAGGAAAACGGGACTCTGTAAGAAATGGATGGACTGATCTTACTGCAGAAGGAGAAAGAAGACAGTGACTTCTATCAAATTTGGAACCTTTTTTTTATTGGCTGGAGAAATGGGACTTGGTTTAGATCTAAAAATGTTTTTTAAGATTCTATAAATGGATCTGAATATGATTACCAAATGTTAAAAGATATGTAGTAAGGGGCTGACTCAGTAGTTCCGATGTTTGTGATGATTGATGTTTTTAGTACTGTTTTAAAATTTAATAAAAAAGTACTGCAAAAAAAAAAAAAAAAAGGAATTGCTCCGGGACTGACAGCCTTGGATCCGGATATCTAAGCAATTCTTGAATCTGCGCTAAGGCCGTCAACACGTTGATCTTATGCGGCAAAAGTGAGAAGATTCTCATCTTTTGCCAGGTGCCATTCTTTTTCTCCAGGATCGACCTCTATTGAAAACATTTTACAATTTCTCTTTGAATTGCACCGTTCAGGACTTAAACCATCATCTATAAAGGTTTACGCCGCTGCCATTTCACATTACCGTGGCAATATACAGGGCTCATCAGTTTTCTCCCAACCTATGGTTCGCCATTTTATTAGGGGATTGCAGAACCTTCACCCGTCCGTCTGTCCTGTTATGCCAACGTGGAGTCTTTCTGTTGTACTTCAAGCACTTACAAGGCCCCCATTTGAACCTTTGGCGACTGATGATCTACACCTAGTATGTTGGAAGACTGCTTTCCTTGTAGCGGTCACTTCAGCCTGAAGAGCTAGTGAACTTTGTGCTCTTCGAATAGATCCACCATATTTGAATTTTCATAAGGAAAATGTCGTTCTTGAAATGGATTCAACTTTCCTACCTAAGGTGGCTACATCGTTTCATATGAATCAGGAGATTGTCTTGCCTGCGTTCTTTCCATCGCCATCGAATCCGATTGAAAGATCTCTTCACACTCTCGATGTTCGACGCTGCTTGGCCTTTTACAGATCTCGCACAGAATCCTTCAGGAGCTCTAATAGACTCTTCATTAAATATTCTGACCATGACAAGGGCTCTCCGGTCACATCTCAGAGACTGCCTAAATGGATCGTTCAGACTATAGTTCTGGCATATCAATTAGCAAAGATGGACTTACCTACGCTTCCAAGGGGTCATTCTAAGAGAGCAGTAGTGGTTTCATTGGGCTTTGTAGCGGGAGTTCTGATCCAGGATATCTGCAGAGCTGCAACGTGGGCTGCTCCGTGCACGTTCGCCATGCATTATTGGCTTGATGTGCATGCCAGACAAGATTGCTCCTTTGGTAGAGCAATTCTCTCCGCTATTCTTTGTTGACGACACCTTCCTCCTCCGAGTCTGGTAAGCTTGCTAATCACCCATATGTGTGATGCACAGAGGCCACAATGAAGAAAAGCAGGTTGCTTACCTGCAACTGATGTTCTTCGAGTGGCCATCTGTGCATTCACACAACCCACCCGCTGGCCCCGCTCGGTGTCGGTGAGTGGAAATGTTCTTCATTGGTACCATACTTAAATTTTTAGCATACTGATGGTGTTTACTGTGATATCATCTTCAACTTCAAGGGGCCAACGTTCGGTCTTCAAGACTGAGTAAAATGGCAGACACTCCACTCTATTTATACTGTGGAGAGGGAGGGGAGCAGAGTTTTCCCACGAAAAACTGTTAGCTTTCTAATCTTCCAGCCTAGGCACTGTGCAGGCGCAGCACCCATATGTGTGATGCACAGATGGCCACTCGAAGGACATCAGTTTCAGGTAAGAAACCTGCTTTTTCAAAAAGCTCAGATTCCTCCAGAAGGGTGGAATCTTAGCTTTCTGATTCATATTTAACTGAGTTTGTGTTTGTGTAGTACAATCCCGTATTAGTATGCAATGCAAATTAATGCAAGTCAGATAAATATAATGCAAACTGCTAACATTCGGTTATAAGGGAATCAAAACTCTCTTAAATCAAGTTCAATTAACTTATTTCCTAATAGGTGTGAATAGAATGCGCTTAATTCTGTTATATTTTGGGAAAAAATATGAAACTGGCCTAATGTTCTGAAGGCAGAGTATAGAAATAACTCTTTTGGCTAGATTGCACCAGTAGTTTTAGACACTGTATTTCACTAAGGAAGCCAATCTATGTAAACTACATTCTTTTTGTTTGTGTTTATTATCTTACAACAGGCCAGTTCAGTTGCTTCAGTGTACCAACAATCCTGACCATGCTGCCTGCAGAGCTTGCTCCTGAAAACATGGTGCCCTGTGTTGATATATCATTACTTGAAATTTTATGATAAGCAATGAGATATATAGAGAAAGTAAAATGCAAAGGTTGAACTAGACATGACAGGGACAGATCTCTGTATTTTAACCCAGATCTACTCCAGATATTTGGTTAGCAGGAACTGGGAAGTGCAGAGCACAACACTCTCCCCCCCTTTATAGCTTCCACCTTTAGTAATCTTCCCCCTTACACCAGTTTTGCTTCAGCCAGGGCTTGATCCTGGGTAAGCCCAACTAGGATAAAAGCATAGGAAAGAATTGAAGCAGGCAGGTGAGTTGCAGGTGGGGAGTATGATATCCCTTTTGCTCATCTCACCACTTCCTTTATCATGTGATGGCAAGGGATTGGGGTTTAAACACACAGATCTGCTGCTACAATGCCTTGTCTGTCCCTTAGATAACTGTGACTTGAGGCATCCACAGAATTGTACCTACAACTGTGTGTGTGCTCTTAATACAGAACTGGAAGGGAGTAATAGTTTAGAATGACCTAGCTATACTCTGGTTCACTAATGCACTTCATTTACAGTTTTGTGGGCATATTTCACACACATCCCTGCATGCATATATAAAATGATAAAACTACAGAGATCCTGTAAAAGGGTCAAAATGAGCATAATTTTAGGAAGAACAAACATTACTGATAATAGTAAAAAGAGTGTGCCTTACCGCTATTGTTCCTTGTGTGCCCAGCCACTGCAGGGGAGTAAAAACCCAGGCCGAGACCATTGCCTTCAGACCATCTATCCTCTGTTACAGCAGAGGATCTAGATGGCTACTGTCATTTGAGCTGGATTAAAAGGGGAATGCTGGTCTCTCCTCCAGTGTTAAGACTAAGAACACACACAGGGCCAGTTCATGATTATCCAAATGAGCCCCCCCCCCCATACTTGTGTTCTTGTGGGACGTGTGAATGGTTGGTTTTATACACACAGCAGAAAGATAGTAATGCTTCTGTTTGTGAATCCCCGATTTTTTGATGTAAAACATTACAAACATAGTTTTTGTCACAAAAACTTTGCATATGTTGTGCATATGCAAATGTTCCAACAAACAGAGAATGCTCTACTTCCTTTTTCTTCTCTGCTTCATCTTACTTACCTAGGTGAAAACACCTCTCAGGAAATTGATGGAGACCAAGTAGAGAATCATGACCACCATGTAATTTAACTATTTCTTTTCTTTCTGATAATTTTGTACCACTCAAAGAGATAATGTCCTAGCTTTTCTGAATTTCAAAAGTTGCCTTTATTTTTAATACCTAATAATTTTCTTTTTGCTTATTATTGATTGTTGCTGCTGTTAAGGATAATGGAGAATCTGAATAAACATTTATTTAGTTATTACATGTATATTTTGTCTCTCCTATTTTAGCCTTGAAATAACCTTGTAAGGTAACATCATCTGAGAGATGGTCTGGCCTCAGATTATCCAGCTAGCTTCATGAACAAGTCAGGATTAGGAGCCTGGTCTGCCCAGCCCTAGACTAAGGGCCTCATACCAGTTCACACCAGTTCTCTTGTTTTAGCTATTGATTACAGCAGATGCAGTGTGCATTACGATAAGAGTGCTAGATTAAATCATTAATGCCAATTTCAAAAAATGTTTTTTGATGATGTGGAGAAGGTGCTTGACTGTAGTCAGAAGAACTTTTAAATTTGTCCAAAATGGCCACCTGTTTGCCAAAACTCAAAGTATGCAAAAATCTGCTTCAATCCAAAGTATGCACCTCCTATTTCTACATGGTTACATTTATATCCTTAGGAGCAAAAGCATATTAGGAGTAAATATGCTGTTGCGATTACACAGTATTTATTATTTAAACTACCTTCACCTGCCTTCATTTGCAGTTGTTCTCAGTGTTGTGATCACATAGCCAAATCTAATTCATTGTGCTTCTGTTTATTGAAGTGCAGTTATGGCATCACATCAAATATATTGTGACAACTTGTTAATTATATCCTGATTGGATAAAATGACTCATGCAATTAATTACTCATGCATTAATTAATGAAGAAGAAACAGCAACAGTTAATGGCTGTTTATTCCACAATAAACATGCTTTGTACACTCACTCTTTTTTGAGCAGTATAAAACAACAAATCACTGTTCACTTGCATTTTTCTTATGCATTTTCCCCCCAGATTGCAAATAAATAAATAAATAAATAAATAAATACTTTTGTAAAGTCAGTTTAGCATTACTCTTTTGTCTGTTTCTGTCCTGGTGTGCAGTGTTTGACCTTACTATCACTTTAGTAAATCTTCATGAATAGCTGTCAACCACTAGCACTAAAATTATAATGCATTTTAAAAAAACATTCAAAACCTAATATTTCCTTTCTTATTGGCATCATTGTATTAATTTGGGAGTCAATTCTTCTTTTCTGATCACTTAATGCTAAAAAAAATTAAATCTTCCTTTTAAAAACAACGTGTAAGTGATGGTACTTAAATAAAAACAATTTAGTATAAATTTAAAATTATTGTAAAGAGGCATGTTCAGAATTTTCTCTTTCCCGCTCACATGGAATGGTGTAGATGGAATGCAATACAACACACACGTATATATGTGTGCATGTATAGCAGTACACCCATAGAGACACACCTAAAGTGTGACAGTCAACAGAAGAATTATTCAGTAGCATTACAGAAGCTGCTATTATGTCAGCACCTCATGGTGCTAAGCAACACAGGGAAAAGCATGAATATTTGAGCAATTAGGGACGGGGGGGGGGGGATTTGACACCACCAAGATTGCCAAGGAGCAGATACGTGATGTAGAGTAATTCGGGAATACCTAACTTCCCCAGCCTCATGCCCTGCAGGTGTGTTGGGCTATACCTAATGCTGGGTGGGAATGCTGGGAGTTTCAAAGACTGCTCTAGTACTACATATAAATTCTGCATACCATTGGCAAGGAATAGTACACAAGAAGCCATACTGAGATGTTTCAGGTCTCCCTCTAGGGTGTTGCCAGGCAATTTGAGCTCTAATTCACTCAAGTTAAAGAAAAGAAGATTGTGGGGGGTTTTGATTGTTGTTGGACTAACTACTGACAGAAAAAAACATTGATGCTTTCAATTCACCATGAAAATGATACATTTTAAAGCAAGACTGGGCCATTCATTCTGATCAAATGATGGCTCTTTCACACAGATGGTTGTTGGCCTGCCCCATGCCAGCAGCAATCTTCCTTACAAAAAGATGTAAAAGTCAGTTGGCAGTAAAGCAAAATTAACATTCTGAAGTCATGAAACATTTATCTTGCTTGGTTCTTCTGTGTAAGCATAAAGTTACATTGTCCACCTTGCTCATAAAAATATCTCTGAATCCTAGTAAAACAGGTGGGGCCAGATTGTGGTCTGGGTGCTCTACCATTGTGTTATTCACCCTGAGAAATTGTGTGTCCTTCAGTGCCTGGGCAGGATAGAAGCAGAGAGCATGGGAGCCATACAGAAGCCCCCCAGAGATCTCCAAAGGACTGGGGTGCATGTGTGTCTCTCTATAACAGACAAATGTAAAAGGAAGCCAGCTTTTCTGGATTCTTGATGGCTCTTCAGTTGACAGTCTCAGAACAGCTTTTAAAGATAACTCTCTCACACACACATGCACACGCACACACACAGAAAATAGATATGAAAGCTTTAGAGCAGTAGCAGAAAGCCTCTTGCCCATGGGCCTACCCCAGAGAGATTCCCCATCTGGCCAGTGAAGGCATGGGTTTCCTCTGTGGGCCCTGTTCCCTTGCCATCCCCAGTCACTCCATAGGGCAGGGGCTTCTACACTTGTAGTGTACTTTGTCACTGCAGTGCCTGACTTAATTGTGAGACACATGACACAATCCAATATTCTCACTCTATTTCTGCTGTTACACTCTAGATTTCTTGATGGCAATTTTATCACTTTCTTGTGGGTTCCTTCCAATATATATTCTGATGAGTTTTGAAGCTGGGAGCCTGGGAGTGACAAACGGGGCACTGTGAGAGAACATTCTGCAGGAATGAAGTACAGTGGCCTCCATTTTGTGGGGCTGTGACAGTGAATATGTTGCCTTTCCCTTATTGTTGCACACCTCCAGTGCTGTGCAGCTGCTCATATATGACACAACATGAAAATGAAAGTGCATGCCTCCACAGATGGAGCTGCATTGTACAAATTTAGGAAGGTCAGTCTTACGCATGACCAAGCTAACTGCAGCCAGTCCTTGTGCAAATCATTCTGAGGGTGCAAATGTGTAATTCCCCCTCCCCTCCCCCCACAAACGACACTGTGTATTATTTGCTCCGGTGCACCCTATGAAAAACTATCAGGGATGCCCCATAATAGAAAGTGCCCACTGTTGATCTGCCCCCAGTATCACAACATTGCAGACATGGCATGTGGCTGCCAGAAAGTTGTTTTAAGTTGCTTAAGGCCATCTAGAGAATTATGGGCAGCAGCAAAGTTTAAACTGGGAAAATTGCCAGCTTAGTCTCTTAACTGCTACTTGACAACAGCTTTCTGAGGCCTTGTTGACAGCTGTACAACATTTGACAGATAAAATATAGGCACTCTTGTGTTCTTGTAAAATCGCTGTTCTTATATGAAGCACCACTCAACTGTCCTGCCACTGCCATATAGCACAAATGCACTATGCTAAAGCCTCTCCTTTGTCAACGGGATCAGATCTTGTGGTAAGTTTTGCTCTTTTTATTTACCTCTGGATTCATCTCCAGTCTGTAGTGCTACAGCTCAAACACCTGAAATTCTCTTTGGTTAGAACTAGAACTATGGTCAACATGCAGTGCCAACTTTATTTTGTATCCCTTAAAACACATTAAATGGCCTTCAGAAATCAGACACAGAAAGCATTCATTCCTTTGCTGTTTTTTTTTTTTTTTTTTGGAAGAAATCCCCAATAAATGGGGGTCCTGAATAAACTTCCTTGGTAAACCCTCAGCCACAGAGGGGCCTTGTTGGGTAGTGGGCAGCTGGTTCAGGGCCCTCTCTGTCATGAGGTATACTTAGCAGAAAATGTTCAGATACTTTACTAGAAAATCGCAATATGAATGCAAATGAAATGAACAAATGGAAATAAAAGGCAATGAAACTATGAATACAATGGAATTAAGAAAAAATACAAAAAAGGAAATTAGGAGGAGTAGAATGGAACACTTTAAAGTCCTTGCAACAAAAATATGTGTTTTTCCATACACAGAATATATAGGGGTAGTGGAGGTCTCAGAAGAAGGGAAGGGTTAATGAAAAGATTTGTTGGTGCAGGAGACACTCCAAGAGCCAGGAAGGAGAGAGTAATTTATGCACCTTGTTGCAAAAGAGAAGTTCCTGCCCAGGACAACTGGCTGGTGTTACAAGGCGAGGCATTTGGTCACTGGAGTAGAGGTCAGCATGCCCCTTTTATTACTAATACTTTCAAGACCAGTTCAATGGATCTCTGATCATTACTGTGGGGCTATACAAGAGTTGGCAAACCTTTTAGAGACCGAGTGCCGAAACTGCAACCCAAAACCCACTTATTTATTGCAAAGTGCCAACACTGCAATAAAACCTGAATACTGAGGTTTTAGTTTAGGAAAAAAAAAACAACTCATACATTAGCATCTTTTGTCTTAAAAAAAAAACACAATAACAGAGCTTTCAATGATACAAACAGCTTTTTATTGAAAGCTAAAAGTTTGCATTTGGCATGCTTTTGCACAATTAATATGATCTTTGCTGTTGTATGCATGCTGATAATTTGTCAAACCTTGGCTCATACTTTGTTAGTCTGAGAGCAACACATGCAGTACTCAGGTCATCTGTTAGTCTGTTTTTTGTATCAGATTTGCTATAATTTGTTAATAAAAATGAATGTATTAAGACTCACAGCCAGTCCAAGCAATATATATATATATATATATATATATATATATATCCTTGGCAGCGTACTGACCGGCCATGCGACAGCTTGGATGAGTCGTGGCGAATGAGTTGCGGCTCACGACATCATTGCCTGGTGCTGCTACTCCTTTCCGAGCATGCGCATGGCCCCTATGTGAGCTGTTATCCGATGCTTGGTTGCTGGGGCGATGCTCGGCTGCTGGCCTGTTGCGGCACATGTGCCATAGGTTCGCCACCGCTGGGGTATACATTCTGCTTTTGCTGTTGCTCTGTTTGTTTTCTGAATATGCATTTGTGGTTCTTCTCTGGATTTGTATTCCCAGTGGTTTTTCACTGATGTTTGGCTTTGTTAAATGATTGTAAAAATCAAATAAAAATTATAAGTATTAAAAAGGGTGTGAACTACAGGGAGGCAGTGAAGATTGGCCTCCTA